AGCGCCGTCTCCATCTCTCCGGCCCAGGAAACCCCGTGAAGAAGGAAAGAGCTGCCTGCCGGGCACGGCCCGCAACAGGCACCAGGCCGGCGGGGGCAGGTGCACCGCACTCACCCCACGGCAGCCCCGTGGGGCAGGGGCCTCGTCTATGTTCACAGATGATCTACATGCTGCTGCCAGAGGTTACAAAAGAAGACAGTGACGGTGGCACTGGGAACAGAGGGTCGGACGGTGGATCCTGTGTGTGCACGCCTGTGACCCAATCCTGGTTAACAGCAGGAACGAGGCCAGGGGGTCAGCACAGCAGCAGCCAGGTGGCGCCCGCATACCCGCTGCTGGGCACCGTCTCCGCTCCCTGCACACACCTTCATGTGTCCTCAAAACAGCACTGAGAGCTGGTGCTATATGACCCGTTTCTCAGATGAGAAAACGCAGCTTTGAAGAGATTAAGCAATTGGCTAAAGCTTACGCAGGGAGGAAATTCATAAAATGGACCTCAGCAGGTGATCTGACCCCANGCACGCCTGTGACCCAATCCTGGTTAACAGCAGGAACGAGGCCAGGGGGTCAGCACAGCAGCAGCCAGGTGGCGCCCGCATACCCGCTGCTGGGCACCGTCTCCGCTCCCTGCACACACCTTCATGTGTCCTCAAAACAGCACTGAGAGCTGGCGCTATATGACCCGTTTCTCAGATGAGAAAACGCAGCTTTGAAGATATTAAACAATTGGCTAAAGCTTACGCAGCGAGGAAATTAGTAAAATGGACCTCAGCAGCCGGTGATCTGACCCCGGAGCCTTGCTCTCAATATGAACTGGCATCGGGGTAATAAGGTATCACGGACAGTTGATTTTGTGGTGGGGACCTTTCTCCAGAGTGGAGTTTAGTTCTCAGTTAGACCGTGAGTAACACCCCAGACACCCTCAAGCCCCCGAGTCGAGATCAGTATCCTCAGCTGGCTGGTGACTAAGATGATATCATCACACATTGTGGAAGGAATGCGTGTAACCCCACGGCCAGCTCAGGAGCAACGAAGGGTTAGGAGGCATCGCTGAAGAACAGGAAATAAAAACACCAGCCATGCCCGGCTGGGCCTGGCTCAACGGTTGAGCATCGACCTAGGATCCTAGAGATCGCGGCTCAATTCCTGGTCAGGGCACATGCTCAGGTTGCGGGCTCGATCCCCAGGCCAGGGACGGGTAGGAAGCAGCCGATCCATGAGGACTCTCTCATCACTGACATTTCTCTCTCTCTCTCTTCCTCTCCTTTCCTCTCTCTGAAATCAATAAAGATATATTAAAAAACAAAAAAACACCAGCTGTGTGACACCCTGGAAAAAGGGGGAGCCTCAGACACGTTCTGGGTGAGCCACACACAGCTGGTAACTTCAGCAAATCACTGTATTTTGATCGGCATGAGTTCAAGAGGCTTGAACCAGAAACGTTCTGAAATCCCTTTCTCTTCTAAAAGTCAAGAATGTTATATTTTGCCCTGGCTGGTGTGGCTCAGCTGGTTGGGAGTCGTCCTGTGCACCGAAGGGTTGCGGGTTCAACTCCCGGTCAGGGCACATGCCGGGGTTTCGGGCTCGATCCCCAGTGGGGAGGTGCAGGGGGCAGCCAACGGATGTTTCTCTCTCTCCCCCTCTCCCTTCCTCTCTCTCTAAAAATCAATAAAAATATCTTTTAAAAAGAATATTGTGTTTTAATAATGTATAAAAGCAAATGTCTTATGCACACTTGCCGTACATGCCCTAGTTACGAAGCACGAACAGACTTTAGAAGGTAGAGACAAAGTTTATGAAAATATGTTCAACGTTAGAGGAAAAACCAAAGTTTTGTCCGACTTCGCCCAGCAGTACGAATGGTGGTAATGGGGATGGGGGGAGGGGACAGAGAAGGCAGAAGGTGAGGCAAGGACACACCTGATACATCGGGGTGGTTATCTCAGACAGGAAAGGGCAAAGCCTATCACCATGTGAAGAACCAGAGGGAATTTTTTTTTTTTTTAAATATATCTTTATTGACTTCAGGGAGAGGAAAGGAGAGGGAGAGAGAGAGATAGAAACATCAATGATGAGAGAGTCACTGATCGAGCCCACACCCGGGCATGTGCCCTGACCGGGAATCGAACCCCGATCGCCTGGATCCCAGGTCGATGCTCAATCGCTGAGCCACACCCGGCCGGGCCCAGAGGGAATTTTTTTAAAGGTTTCCTTTAAACACTCTTAAGAAAATTCAACAGAGAAAACAAACACTAAGATCCCTCCCAGAAGGGACAGACAGGTTGTAAGTCAACACCTAAGTCCTCACTGCCGTACAGAATGACCGCCAGTCCAGGGCCAGCGACACGAGCCCCGCCCTGAGCGGGCGACTGCCCTGGACGCCGCACCTCACACGCCCGCGGCACGCGCAGGAAGTGACGGGCAGGCCGCAGGGCGAGCTGGAAGGACAGGCCCAGGCCGGAACCCGCTTCCCAAAACACTGATGGACAGTTTGAAACAATAAAAACGAAATGAAACCAACTCCTTCAACGTAGCGGGGAAACAAGGAACAGACTCTGAGCTCTATAAAAACCTCAGTGTCCATCGCCTCACTGAAAGGTCTCTCAGTTAATAATCACCTAGAAATGGAAAAGCCACCTATCCAACTATGTCACATGCTGGGGAAACTGGAGACAGTAAAAGCTTCGGGTGGTTGCCGGGGAGCCGGGTGCAGCGAGGGGCAGGCCGCAGAGGGTTTCAGGGCCGTGCGGCCACTCCAACGAGGGGTCCATGTCCCTACACATTTGTCCGAACCCACAGGATGTGCCACACCCAGAGGAGCCCTAACGTACACGGTGGGCGCCGGGGGACTGTAACGTGTCAGGGAAGGGTCAGCAACTGTGACAGACACATGCTCTGGCGGGGGTGTGGACAGTGGGGGGCTGGGCAATGTTGGGGGGAGGTACACGGGCAAATCTCGGTACCTTCTCTTCATTTCACTGTGCACCTAAAATTGCTCTAAAAAATAAACGCAATCTGGTGAAACTCAATTTAATCATTTTCTCCATATGTCACTGCCCACTATCAAGGTGGAGCAGGAGTAACTGAACATGGGAATGTCAAAAAAATTTTCTTAAACACCTTTCATTGGCTCTAAAGCATAAAAGTTTTAAATTACTGAGATAATGTGAGACTGAGATTTTCATTCCTCAGGTTTTTACTGCAGGACTTACAGCGTTTTGTAATTCTTGTGTTAATGACAACAGCTGTGTAGCAAAAGCTCAGACACAACACAAACATAAAACGAGCTGAAGTCAAGACTTGGGTTTTATCTCCTCGACCGGGTAGGTCATCCTCGCACGCCCCCGACTGGACGGGTCATTCGGCCCCTGAACTCAGGGCCTCGGACACCTGCCTCGCCGGCTGTGGGGGGTCCTCTCAGGTCCTACCTGAGGGGCTTCCTCCTTCCGCAACCTGAGTAAAACCTGCTCCGCCGGCCCTTCGGCCTGAGTGGCGACATCGACGGACGGACAAAGTTCCACATCAGGACTGAGAGGAGATACTTGGGCGGGACGAACAGGAGGCTCCCGGCGTCTCCTGGACGAGGCCCCAGCAGGAGGCCGGACCTGCTGCCTGACTGTCTGTGACCATCCAGTCCCTGCAGGGTCAGCCTCGCCCCCAGAACCACGGCTCCTCTCCACCGCTCTCCGGGATGAGGCGGGACGTGAGCGCCTGTGAGGCTTGTGACGCAAGGGACCCGCGGAGGGCGGTGCGGCCACTGAGGTGCTGAGCGGGCACCTTTTCTCCTGGGACCCATCTGCCCTTGAAACAAAATGACTGACAAACTACGGCCATTTGGACTTGAGTACTTGGTGGATATTTGTTTTTTTAATATAAAAGACGTGAGCCTGTCATTTCA